AGAATAAAAGAGTTCAACTTCTACGTTAAAAGGAGATGCTCCGTTTCTCTGACTGGCAGTCCTGCAAACATATTTGGAGATCTTGCTGCCCGAAGAGGGTATGGAGTCTCCCTCACTGGAAATACTCCAGAGCCATCTGGACACAATCCTGTGCCATGTGCTCTGGGATGACCCTGCTGGAGCAGGGAGGTTGGACCAGATGAGCCACTGTGGTCCCTCCCAACCTGATCCATCCTGTGATTCTGTGAAGAGAAGCTTTTTTTTTCTGCATCACCAGGCTGCTTTATTGTTACAGAGTTTGCCCTTTGTGGTTTATGATTGTTCTCACATGTATTTGATGGAGATACTGATATTCCAGGTCCTGCAGCTGGAACCCAGGGCCCAGTCTTACGAGCTTTACTGGAAGCTGTGATCACTGTACAACAGAAATATTGATCAGGGTCACTGCTCACAGGATCCAAACCTGAAGCCAAATCAGTGGGCTCTAGCCAAATCTGGAGCCCTTAATGCTATAATTAGGCCCATGCAGAGGGACTGCTGCTCCCACGTAAATGGGCTCCTTTGCAAACAACATCATGTGTAAGAAAACCGTGGGCCTGCCTGCCACCCACTGCAGGGCTGGAGCCTTGGCAACCTTGTGGATAAAGTGCAGTGAGAACAGAATCCACTTCAGTGTCTGTCAGCTCAGCTGGCTCTGTGGGGCAGGTATTACTCCAAACATGCTCAGGGAGGCAATTTTCTGCTGAGGAAGAAGTTGCCATATTTAGTTGGCTCTTTTCCTGAGGTTGTTGTCTAGAAATTGCTCAGCCGTGAGAGTGACTTGGCTACCTCCTTTGAAAATACAAAGTAAAACAACCCAAACCAACAACCAACGGGCCTTTAGGGAGGCAGGAGAAAGAACTCTTCCCACCCGTCCTGGGCATCGCCTGCCTCCTCTGGGGCCCCAGGAGTGCCAGGCAGGAAGGGGAATGCTTGCATCCCAGGAAAAGGCAGCAGGTGCACTGTGAGTTCAGTGAGGCAGAGCAGCCTGGTCCGAGGCAGAGCAGCTCCCTGCAGCAGTGATAGAGGCTGTGATGAATTTAGTGCTTGTGACAGACTGACAGCCCTGCAGACTGAGATGCTGTAGCCACAGGAAGATGCAGGGAGTGAAGCCAGAGTGGCAGCTCACATCCACTCCGCACGTGTCCAGGACTCACGCAGCTGCTGCTGGCGGCAGGTGAGCCACTGGCTTCTCTCTGCTGCGTCTCAGTGAGCTGCTCTGAGCCTGCAGTAGAACCAGGGGAGATTCAGACTTTCTCAAGTGAAACTAGCTGTAGAAGAATCCGTTTTTTTTTTCTTTTTCTTTTTTTTTCTTTTTTTTTTTTGGTGGAGGGGTAATTTGGCATTTTTGGTAGTTGTTTTCTCTGAGGTTGTACTTCCACGTTCATTTCTGTAACTATCGGGCAGGAAACATCTCAAATAAGGCAGGGATCACATGGCTCCAGGAGCTGAGGTTGGAAGGGAAAAGGAAACACGTTGCAAGACCCAGGTTGCAGGGCAGACTAGGAATCTACTGGTGCTGAAACACACCTTGCACACAGTCCCCAGGCTTGCTGGATGTCAGACAGTCTGCCCTGACTAGGGGTGAGAATTAAACAAGCCCCAAAACACAGGCTTAGGACCTACTCCAAGGCCCCATTACGCTCCGGGATAGGACTCAACATGGCTTAATTGGTAGGTCAGGCTTTTCTTAAACAGGGCTAATAGCTGAGTTCCGTAACTGTAACCCTTCCAAATGTAAAAATTCCATGTCCTTTAGTGGGAAGTACATGATATTACCTTCCATTGACTTAACAATCTCAAACACTCTAATGGAACCTGTCATATATACAATATACTGGATAATAAGATGTTTTCAAAGTTTATTGCATAAGAAATTTAGCTTGCATCCCTTATCTTGTGGTTTATGGGACAAGAGAGTATGGACTCCAGTGTATACAATAAATGTAGCACCCAGTCCTGCACTCCTAGCACTCCCATAAGTGAACATATATTTAAAGCTGTGAGGCTCTTTTCCAGTGTTTCTAAGATATTTTTTTTTCAACAAAACATACAAATTGATTTGGGCTCCAAACAGATCTGAGGAAGCCTGAATTTTAATAATTAAGGTTGACACTAGGGTCCTTCCTGTCACTTGCCTTTTGCCTCCAGCATCAGTGGGTTATCAGCCTCAATTACAACCCTTTTTCTCCTGTGTTTGCTTTTGTTAGGCACTGGGATTATCAGAACACACATATTTTGTCTTTATATTTTATGTCATAAAATTTAATAGACTCCACTGATGCTGCAACTTGGCGTGAAGTCATTTGGCACATTTGATTCAAGGGCTAATAAAAACAAGCCTTCCTGTTATTGTACATGGTAAATACTGAAATTGATAAAACCCCTTAAGGAGTTAGGTTTATAGCCCAATGAAATCTAAACTGATTCACAGTCCCAGAGGCTGGAAATTTGAAAGATATGTAAAGCCTGGCCTACGCTCAGGTGTTTGTACAGAAAGCCTGCCTATATCTCTAATAGGAATTGTATTTACTACAGCTTCCATGTGAAGACTGGAATTCCATATTTCTTATCAATCCTACTCGAGTAGTGTAAAAGGCCTGCTTATTTTTCATCCAGTTTATAATTCCTTCTATATTTTAAAGGATTGCTGGAATTAACACGAGTCTTGGGAGGGTTTTTTTATTCCATTCCAACTTTATTCCTTGTCAGCGTAGAGTCAGCGGTACTGGAGAACCAGCAGAGGGAGCACGGAATGCTTCCTTCATCTCCCTCTTATGTAAACACTGGCTACTGTCTGAGGAGTTCCTTAATTTCATTTCTCTGCAAGAATTTGTTGCAAGAAAAGGTGATCTACTGCTCAAACATTAAATCTGTGGAAATCTTTAGGGTGCTGCATTTCCATGCTGATTACTTGCCTGCTTCCACCACTCTATTCCCCCTCCTGCTCTCCCCCCTCTGCAAACTGTTCAGTTTTCATGGAGTATTTCTGAGCTGGGACATCCATCATTCATTCCTGCAGAGATTATGATATGTCATTAGGTTGTCAGGAAAATTGGAAAGTTTGCTCCTTGTGAGCAAAGAGAGCTCCCATGCAGCTCCAGGGCTGTAAAGTGTTAATTTCAAAGATCAATATTTTGCAAAAAGAAAGAGGAAAAAAGTAGAAGTCAGGAAGAAGCACAGTGTGTTCTACACACATGCTTTACACTTTGCTTTGTAAAACATGCACATCTTAAACCAGAGTTTGCTAAAGAGTTAAAGGAAACCAAGCAAATTTGAACCCAGATTAAAAATGTGAATTAAATTATCATCAGCCACACAGTCATACAGTTTGAAGGTCAATGCACCTGTTATTATGTATTAACATTAATTTTTTAATTAGTAGACAACCTCATTTTGTGTATTAAAGTTTTTATTCCTTAGTAAGAATTTTTTTTAATCACAAAATAGTGTGGAAATATTTAGATAATAGAATTCATGGAGTGCTGGAAAATACTGAATATAAAGATTGATTTCTAATATATCACATACTAAACTGTTCTAAAACAGCTGGTTTCTTGCAGACAGGATTTATTTTCTTTTTAATAATTTAAGACAGCATAAGCTTGTATCAAGCATAAGCGTTGTAACAAAAGTGCAACTTTTTCAGCAAATCCTCCCCAAAGATATTTAACTCAAAATATCATTAACACATATTTTTTTTCTCCCTACAAAAATAGCATGTCAGACATCATTAATTGGATGTATTAACAACTATTTACATACAGCCACTCTGTAGGCTAGTAAGATTTTTTTTGTTTTTAACGTTGTTTAAACACAGCGTTTGAGGCAAAACAGTAGCAACAGCAGCAGCAGATGCACCAAACGGACTGACGGACCCCGGACACGCACACACTCCTCGCCAGGCTGTGGTGTCTCACCTCTTACATAACATTCAAGTGAGATTTCTCACAGTGCTACCTTGGCAACAAACTAAAAATATCTAGGCAAGGTCTTGGTTTAAGCCTTATTATAAAAGACTTATCTGTGTGATTATCTGGCGTCTGGTTTGTCTCCAGAAAGGGAAATCGCAGTATTTTGAGCATGGGATGAGGGGAGAACCCATATGGGAAACTTACCCCAGCTGGTTTAATCGTTCCTGATTGCACAGCGAGGTGTTTACCTACGGCCTCCAGTATGTGTCACTGGGAATTTAGGATGAAATGAGTTCAGGCTGATGAGTTGCTCTGTGTTTTCTTGTGGGAGGGAAGGGGGGTTCTTTTTGTAGTTCAGTGCAGTAACATTCATTTTATACAGCAAGGTTCAGGGGGGGAATCTCTCGGGAACATACTGAATTAAATAAAGACGGGGTGAGAACAAATGCACTTGCCACACCTGTATACCTTAGCCAAAAAAAATAATGAAATAAACACAAGGTTATGTAATGGGTCTGACCCTCCTTCCCTTGTACACCCAAAACTCGCTGGAGCCAGCGGCATCCCCGGGTGCTCAAGGCACTGCAGGTTTGGGCTCAGGGTGCACCCCTCCACGCTCCGGTCCTCGATAAAGTGCTAGCACATGTGCTGGGGTCTGCCCTTCTTCCCTCGCCTCGCCCCCTGCCCTCACCCTGAACCCACCCAGGTCTCCCGGACAACAAGTGCAAGTTCCCAAGTGGGACTTGCGGACACACTGTATAAACCCATTCCAAATAAGGTGCCACATTTAAGTTACTCTATATAGAGAAAAAAAAGTATCCTTACTATGTCCTCTTCCTTCTTCTTTTTTTTTTTCCTTATTTACGCATTTATAAAGCCAAACATTAAAAAAATACTGAGTAGCAAATTTTATCCTCGACAGTCCTCTGGCGGGGGCCGGGCCCTGGCAGCCCGGCGACCCCTGCCCTCCTCGGCAAACCGGGGGGTGCAGGTGCCGGCCCGGCAGCCCCTCGGTCCGAGGGGAGGGCGGCGGCGGCGGGGAGCCCCCGGGGGCGTCTCACGGGCCCTCGGCACCGGACTCCTCGGCGGCCGCGGGCTCGGGCTCCTCGCCGGGCTCGGCGGCGGCAGCAGCGAAGGGGTGCGGGAGGTGGGGTGCCGGGGGCAGGCCGGCGGCGGCGGCCGCCGCTGCCTTCTCGGCGGGGCCGAGCACCGAGGACAGGCAGGGGAAGGAGGCGGCGGCGGCGGCCGCGGCGGCGGCCGCCTGGGCAGGGATGCCCGGGTAGAGCAGCGGGATGGGGGCGGCGGGGTAGAGATACTTCTCCAGGCTGCTTTTATCCAGGAAGGGCTGCATGTAGGCGGCGGCGGCGGAGGGCGAGATGAAGTAGAAGGGCAGGCAGAAAGGGGCGGCCGCCGGCTGTCCGAAGGGGGCCCCGCCGCCTCCCGCGCCCAGGGCCATCAGCGAGCCCAGCAGGGCGGCGTCGGGTCTCACCAGCGCGGCCGCCGCCGCCGCCTCTGCGCCCCTCGCCGCCAGCCCCGGCGGGCCGGGCAGGGGGCTCGGGCCACGGTCCAGCTTCCGCCGCTTGGGCGCGGGGGGCACCTCGTCCCCCGACGGCTCCTGCTTGATGGCCAGGGCAGGCAGCGCCCCGCCAGCCGCCGCCGCCGCGGGGCCGCGCTCGGGGCGCGCCTCGCCCTCCCCGCCATAGCCGCTGTCCGTGTCCGTGTCGGTCTCGGCGCTGAGCTCGGCGGCGTGAGTCCGCTGGATGACGGGCACGCAGTTAGCCTGGCCCTCCGGCTTGTGGCCCGGCGCGCAGGGGGGGGCGGGCGGGGAGGAAGAGGAGGAGGATCCCTTGCTGAGGGGGCCCGGCGGCGGGGAGAGGAGCTGGGGGCCGGGGAGGAACTGCGAGGAGATGGAGTGCAGGTGGCCGAGCAGCTGGGCGCATCGCTGCTCGCGGGGGGTCCAGCTCTCGAAGCGGGAGAGGTACTGCAGCACTTCCTTGGCGCACGTCTGAAAGCCCGAGTGGAAGGCGTCCAAGTCGGCCTGCACCGGAGACTTCATGGACCGCTCTCCTGCGGGGGGGACCGAGCGGGGACAGCGTTTGCCCGCGGCTCCGGCTTGGGGTGCCCCGCTCCGCGGCCCCCCAAAACCCCCCCTCGCCGGCCCCCGCTGCGCCCCCCGGCCCCGCTTACCATTCTGCAAAGCAATGATCTTCTGGTGCTGCTGCTCCGTTAAGGCCGTGAGCGCTTTCAAGTGTTTCAAAGTCAGTTCCAGCACCACCGCTTTCTCCAGGTGTCCCAGCGTCTGTAAAGGCGAGGGAAGGGGGCGGTTTGGCTACCTCCCGGCGCGCTTTGGCTACCGCCAAACGCCGCCTCCGCTAACTTCGGGGAAGCCGGTCCCCGAGGGGCATTAGGGCCGGGACGGCGGGCAGGCAGCGGGCAGGCAGCCCGGAGTCCCGGGGGCTGAGCAGCGGGCAGGCTGCCGGCGCCGGCATCTGCGTGTACATATACGCCCCCCTGCACCTTACCGTCAGTTTGAGATGCTCGGGCAGCAAATCCTTCAGCTGGGCAATGCATTCGTTAATCCTGTCTCGTCTCTTCTTTTCTATCAGTCTGTGTGGCAGTTTGTACGTTTCCTAATTAGCAAGACCCGGAAAAGCCGAGAGTTAGGCTGAGTCCCTCGGAACGCCGATCAAAACCAAAACAAATGTCATGCGGGCCACATGCCGTGCAAATTATCGCCAAGGCACCGCTTTCCCCGCCGTGCCAGCTCGCTCGTAAACCCGCTTGCAATTCGGGGGGCAAGTTAAACGCGCAGCCCCCCCCCCGGGGATGCTCTTGGGAGTGAAGCTGAGCCGTAAAATTCAGCGAACCCCAAATTAAGCGCTTAAACGAGAACAGCCCCAGAAAACTTACTCTTACCTTGCTGTCGTCCCTCTTCACGCCTCTTTTAGGTTTGCACATATACAGGGCAGGGTAGTCCAGCCTGGAGAAAAACACAAAGATCCGGCATGGGCGACTGCAGCGGGAGCTTGCCTGGCACCTCCTCGATGGGCACACGGGCGCCGAGCGCTCTGCCCGAAGGGCTGGGCGAAGGATCGCCCGGGTCCGCCCGCGGAGGGAGGCGGCGAGCCCCGCGCCCCGCCGGGGAGCCGGCGCCGCTCCCGGCGCTCCGCTGCACTTTCCCAAGAAGACGAAAACGCCGTAGAGACACGAGACAGAGATACTGCCCCGCCGCCTTACCCTATAAAATCCCTATGCTCCAGTAGCTGCCTCTCCGGCAAGCGGGAGATTCCTTCATCCATGTCTGGCAGCGGCTGATGTTTCGTCGCTGCTTTTGACTGAGCCTGCGGGATGCTGAGATCAGTCTCGGGAGATCCGCAAGCGACGCTGCGCACATGCAGCCTCCGTCCCCCCTCTCCCGTGCAAGTGGCCAAAAGTGTGCGGCGGCTCGTCCTCTCCCCCCCCCCACCAACCCCAACCTCCCCCCACCCTCCCCTTCTTCCAAGTGCCACCGCCGCTCCCCCCCTCGCCCGCCTTCGCTCCCGCTCGCCGCGCACACGCCCGCAGCTCCCGCCGCCGCCGCCGCGCCTGCCCGCGGGGCACGCGCGCCGCCAGCCAGCCCCGCACCCGGCTCACGTGCGGCGCGGGCGGGGGCGGGACCGGGGAGGGGACGGGGCGGGGGGGAACCGGGGTGGGGGGGTCCCGGGGCCGCCCTGCGAGACAGCGGCTTCCCCCCTCCGTGTGTCACTGCCGCTGTCATCGTCAGCGTTACTGCCGCGACTGCTGTCGCTCTCGTCGTGGTTTTATTATATTTCTTTTATTTTTATTATTTTTCTAATATTATTTTTAAAATAAATTTACTTTTCTATTTTTTATTATTATTTTTTTTTTTTATTTGTGGCTGAGGAGGAGACCCGCCCGTGGAAAACATGCCCGGAGGGGAGGCGTGGGAGGATGGAAGAACGGGGAATAATCGAGCCCCTCTCTTGCGGAGAGGGCGATTAGGGGGTCGCGTTCGCCATACGTTGTATATAGATTTAAGGATGCGTGGGCACGGACACGCGTGGGTTTTTGCGCGGGGCGCAGCTCTCGCCCCGCGGTGATCCCGGCGGCTCCCCCGCCCGTCCTTTGGACGGGAGCCGGGCCCGCCTGCAACGCCAGACCGCGGCAAAAGCGCTCCTTATATACACGCGGACTCGCGTATAGAGCCCTATATACATAAAAACACGTATATCTGCAATACAAACATATCTGCTGCTGACTCTGCCCTCGGGCAGCCCGCACCCGTGCAGAGGGTGACACCGGCAGGATATGTCCCCGGTGCAGCGTGACCGGCCCGCGGCAGCCCCGGGACGGGGCGGGCCGGGAGAACCCCCCCAGCGCGGTTCCCCCCGCCCTCCCTCGTCCCTGCGCGCCGGGCGCGCCCGCGCAGCCCCCGCTCCCCGCCGGCGGCGGCGGCACCGACAGCCGCCTCCCTAATCCCGTCTCACACTGGTACGAGCACAGGGCCGGCAACGTGACGCGACCTGCTGCCACATCACTGCCGCCGGCGGCACCGGGCGGCTCTGCCCCGCCGCCACCCCCCCGCCGCAGCGGGCGCTGGCACGCGGCGGCACCGGGCACCCCCCGGCTCGGGCAGCCTCGAAATCCCCCTCCCCTTGGGCCGGGCAGCCTGCCAGGACCCCCCCGCCAGCGGGAGGAGGGGGTGCCGCTGCCCGAGGGAGTGGGATGCTCTTCCCCGCGCCCCGTGCAGCGGCGCTGTGTGTGCGTGTCCCCGCGGGTGCGTGTCCCCGCGTGTGTCCCCGCGTGTCCCCGCGTGTGTGCCGTGCCGTGCCCGCACGCCGGCGCGGCATGTGTGGCCCTGCAACGTGCGGGGTGTGCGGCGTGTGCGGAGAGAGCAGCGGCCCCGGCCCCACGTGCGGTGCGGGGGGAGAGGACACCACCACCACCATCCCCCAGCAGAGCCGGGCTGCCGGGTTTCTCTCCGGTATTCCCGGCGGGAAGTGTCAGCTGAGGCGATCCATAGCGATGTGTTTATCCCACGCCGCCAGCCCTGACCGCGCTTGCCTTTCATTTGGTTCGGTTTTGCTCCCCTCCGTCCTTGAGCTGCGTGACCCCCGAACCGCGGGATCCCACAGCAGCTGGCGGAGGGGGGCGGAAAGGCGGCGGGAGAATTACCCCAATAAACAGAAAACACGCCCCCAGCTGCCAAAACACAGACGGGAACCTCACATTATTACTTGCTAACGATGGTGCTTTACAGGTAATCTGGCCAGGAGGGTAACTCGTGATTTTTGTATGCGGGGGGGCTCTTGAACCGCACTGCCCATATGTAAAGTGCGAATGAGGTTTTAGGAGCAGCGAAGGCTCTGATGAGGTGTTTGAGGCTCCTGCTTGGCAGGCAGCAAGCGGCACTGCAGGCTTGTACAGCTCTCTCCCTGTTGGCCTGATGGCATTTCCACGCTGCCCGTGCAGCTAAACTGGGGGTAAACGTGAACAATACACATGGGTGCCGCATTCCTATAGGTTATAAGGGTGGGGGTCAGAAGGAGAGGTTTTTGGGCTGCTACAGAGGCAGTTGGGAGAATCTGCTGCTGGTGAGGAAAGCAGACTGATACATTGGTTCATGGAACCACAGAACATCCTGAGTTGGAAGGAACCGTCTCCTGGCCCCGCACAGGACACCCCAACAGTCCCACCATGTGCCCAAGAGTGTTGTCCGAACACCTCTTGAGCTCTGTCAGCCTTGGTGCTGTGACCACGGCCCTGGGGAGCCTGGTCAGTGCCCAAACACCCTCTGGGGGAAGAACCTTTTCCTGAGATCCAACCTGACCCTGCCCTGACACAGCTCCAGGCCATTGCTTTGGGTAAGGGCAGCTTTGCTTTAGGGCAGCTCCCTTGGGAAGGGGGACCACAGACTGCGAGGGAAACTCTGCTCAGTGCCAGCATGTGCCAGCAGTAGTTGGCCATCAAGGATGCATTGGTTGCTCCAGGTCAGGCATCCATGTGGGACATTTAAGATGGAGCTATAGGCTGTCCTGCTAGTCAGCAGAGAGAAACAAGCACCATCAGCATGAAATTCCTCTCCTCCAGACTGGACTGGTCCTAGAGAAAGCATCCAGAAAAGTGGAGGCATAGCACAAATAGTAGAAGGAGCCCTAATCCTGAAATAAAGCACATGGAGACCTCCTGGGGGAGTAGTGACTCAAAGGGAGCTTGAACCCTGGAAGAAAAGGGTTGCCTCCAGCTGATTCCTCCTATGGGCAGGAAAGCAGGGCTTTGCATGGTTTCCATAAGGAACATAGGAGGTGGGGAGCAAGGGATCAGCATTTCTGGAGCACCTCCTTGTGGAACACCTGGAGTATTTCTGGAGTGTCTTTGCCAGCTTCGTCCTCTCTGGAACAACCTGCAAATCTTCAAATTATGGAAAGAATGTCCAGGGAGAGACTCAGCTTCTAGGAGGAGAAGTCCTAATTCTGGGATTCCTCTGGAACCAAGTGGGAACGGAAACTGAAAATTACCAAAGATGCAAAACATGAACCGAGACAGCTGGAGACTTTGCAAAAGGAGTTCGACATCTGGAACTTCTAAGAGAGGTTTATAAGAGGTCACCTGCAGACAAGGATAAAAGGCTTCAGTGTCCAGAGAGAGTGCAAAATTCTCCTGGAAGATTCCCAGTTTAAAAGGGCAGGACGGATCAAAGAGGTGATCAGCAACATGACTATCATGGAAAAATAATGTTTTCCAGAAAATAAGAGGCACAACAAAAGCTTTGGCCCATTTACAAGCAAAGATTAACCGCAGGAAAGAGTTAAGAAACTGAGAAAATCAGTCAGAAAAGGAAATAAAAGGCTTGCAGGTCACCGCAGGAAAAAAAAGCCTCCTGCTGCAGACAAGAGCTAGCCAGCACAACGCCTACCACCAGCACTCACCACCATTCCCAGTCTGCAGGAGGAAGGAATCAGACTGTTTGTCCCAGCTGAATCAGTGCAAAAGCCACAGTGTTTGAGGAGAATACATTTTGGGAGGTTTATCCAACTCAGCCCATAACCACGGTGTAAGGGAATGGCTCTGAAACAGGGGCCTAGGAGCCAACTTGATGGGGTCAGCTCTTATGTTGGTGAGCACTTGCCTTCAGGAAAAGAAATTGAATTATCTGGGCTGACTGTATGACTGGAATCAACCATCAAATTAAAGCTGGTCAGCGGTGTGCAACAAAGTGGGGGACAAAGAGAATTCAGCTGAAGGATCGGGATCATTTTGGTTGAATAACAAGATATCCAACCAGGGGAAATTGGACATTGACCTATTAATAGATTTTTCAGTTATGGGATGACCAGATTGAGACCGGGGAAAAAGTGAAAGGAGAGTTTTTTATAAAACCTGAGCTGGGTAAGAAAAAAAGGTCCTGCTGTCCTGGAGAGCAGCAGGAGATGCCCTGGGAGGAGCAGACAAACAGAGCATGCAATGCAAGCTCCCCAGGCCAGTTTCCCAGGTCCCAGTGGCCTGCGGTGCAGAGACTTCCTGAGCCAGAAATGATATCCCTGTGTTTAATGGGAAGCCAGAGATGCTGTGAGAGGCAGAGGAATGTGCCAAGGTGCTTAAATCATGGGCTGCAGCAGAGCTTTGGGCCAGGAAGCAGACACTGGGGAGAAGCTGGTCAGTCACTGGAGCCCTGTCAGTGCAGCTCTGTGGCTCACACAGGGAGGAGAAAAGAGAATTTTCCATTTCAGAGAGTACCACATGTCCCCAAATGTATGTAAAGCAAGAGACAGTGGCCATGCAAAAATGCAGCTGAATTCAGAAGCAGAAATAAAATAACCTGAGTGTGGGAAGGTGGTGGGCCAAGACAAGACACAATGTGCAACAAAGCCTCTGCAGGGTTGCAAAATGGGGAAATGGGGGTAGATCCAGCTTGGAGGACAGAGACAGGACCATGTTTTTGTGAAGGACTGATACAAAAACCTTACAAGGGGGACTTTAGTCACAGAGGCACTCCTAGGCTGTGTGAAATGGGCTAAAGTCTACCAGACTTGCCAAGCTAGACCAGCACTTGGGCTAACAGTGGCCCAGCTAATCACTCAGGAGAGTGCAGACACTTCAAAAACTGGGAAAGTCAGATTGGTGAAACAGGGGCACTGGAGCAAAAAGTCAGGCATGGTGATGTCCTGATAAACACCAGGAACTGTGCCTTACTCCATCACTTTGGAAATTCCCCTTAAAGACCTGTTTCAAGTGAAGCAAACTGTTTGCAGGCAGCTGGTCTGCGATGAAAACCTGTCCTACCTCCCGGGACAGTGAAAAATAAAGGCAACTCCAGTCTGAGGTCGCTCCCTGACTGATGGGAGGGTCTGGAACCTGCCTGGAGCCCTGGGACCTGTCACCCAACAGGTCAGTGACATCTTTTGCATGTGAAACTGAAATGATCTCCATCTGTCTCCCGGATGTTTTCCAGGAGCAACAACCAGGAACAAGTAAAACAACCTTCCCCGTAAGTGCCCCCTCCAAAGTCCCTGGAAAGGAACTGTGTCTGTGAGTGAAGATCCATCCCTTGGATGATGCCATTTGGTTTGG